GGGGATTGCAGCCAGGCTGGATCTACTCTGAGAATGAAAACAGTAATTTTCAGATGCAATAAATCCACAGAAATAATTGATAATGCAGAAATAAAATAAACACCTAGGCCTGAAAATATAACTGCTTTGGCTGGAGAAAGGTTGTTAATAACCAGGTACTGGAAAGATACTGTGCATCCATAAAGAAGATAGGATACTTCTGCTAGACTTCTGGCTGATATGTTACCCCTCCACCCAGGTCAGAGACTAAGCATAGGTGTTATTAGATGAATTTGTGCACTCAAAAAAGCACTGCAAGGAAAAACACCTGCAGACATATATTTTTAGTGTAGACTTTACTCTTGATGCTTGGGATCATCACTCCAGGTACTCTGGGCACCACTTAGAACCAGCTTGTCCAACACAGGCTCCATTTTCTCCCTTCCCAAATCTTCCCTTTTCAAGGCACCTATCACATCAATAATACTTTAGGCTTAAGAATTTATGAGTCCAAAGTCTAGCTCTTTTCACATTTTTATATAGTACTGCCCAATATTTATTGAAAATATGAAGTATTTCACTTACTGAGTTTCACTGCTAAAGGATGACTTTGAATCATATAAGTTTTGAAATAATGGTAAGTTATATTGTTACCTTCATTTTTACTAATGAAGAAAGTGTTTCTCAAGGAGATCAAGTAATCCATTCAAGATCACATAAGGGTTGTAGGGTAGAAGTAATTCAAAAATTTAGATCTGTTGTATTCCTAATAACTAAATTCATAGCATGCAATCTGGAGGGTTGCACTATATTTAGGATACTGAGTACTGAATGCATTGCTGTAATTCTGTATTACTTTCAGCATTCTAAACCAATTGCTAGTTATTTCTTGGGAATAATATAAAATATTTGGTCTTATATTTGTGAATTGGCAACAAAGAAAATCATACTAGTATAGGTATCCTAAGGATATGATCTTGAGAAAAAAATTATTCATTCTATGGATTAAAAATATGGTATATATACACAAAGGTATATGTAGAAACAAGCCATAAAGAATTAAATCATGGCTAGTAAATAGATGGAACAGGAGACTATCATGCTAAGTGAAATATGCCAATCTCCCACAAAACAAAGGTAGAATGTTCTCTCTGGTATACAGATGTTAATTCACAATAAGTGGGGTGGGGAATAGATGTTCACTGGATTAGACAAAGTGGAATGAAGAGAAAGCAGGGGGGATGGGAATAGGAAAGACAACAGAATGAATGGGACATAACTTTCCTATGTTCATATATGAATACAGGACCAGTTTAACTCCACATCATGGAAAACCACAAAAAATAGGAAGATATATTCCATGTAGGTATGATATGTCAAATACATTCCACTTTCTATAACTGTAAAGAACAAATAAATAATTAAAAATTTATTCATCCTCATAAATATATAGTCTTCGAATATATATAAAATTAAGTTGACTAAGAGGAAGAAACATAAGTTTTACCATAAACTCCTTAAGCTATGTAATGATTCTTTTTAACTGCAAACAGCCTGCTGTTTACTTTTGCCTTAAAAATAAGCAACACCTATACCCAACTTGGTGTTATCAGGAATTTTTTCCTCTGTGCATGTTCCAGATCATGTTCATGAAAGAGAAGGCACAGTGAATGTGTGTGTGTGTGTGTGTGTGTGTGTATGTGTGTGTGATGTGTTCGTAATAATTGCCTTGGTGATATTACATGTCCATTTGCTCAGTTATTTTTACTTTTATTTATCTTCATTAACTTTCTCACCTACTGATGCTTTCTATAAAATAAAATAACAGATTTTAGCAACTAACAATAAATATTCTAAAGAATTTTTATATTATAACCTAGCACTGTATCATTTTTGTATGTTAATTTACTTAATAATATATTTTGAAGTTTATAAATGAGATTAAAATGATAATAAGAAGAATCAGATATTTTGTAAATTAATTTGTTATTAATTTTACTGTTATAAATTGAAGTATTTTATCAGTGCATGTTAATTATACAGAATAATGTGTTTCGTTGTAGTGTATTCATACCCTGCATATATCATATTTTTATTATTTCCAGCCTTGCACTATTCCCCTTTGCCCTCCCTTTTTCCTTTCCCTTCATCCTCATATCCTTGCCTAATAGTTTCTTTATCCTCTAGATTCTACATATGAAAGGAAACCTGTGATGTTTTTCAGACTCCAACTCGTTTTAACATGATAATCTCTAGTTCCATCTATTCCTACAAATGACATGATTTTGTTATTTATGGCTGAAGAATACTCTCTAAATATCTATCTCATCTTGATATATCTATATATGAGAGATATATAGATATATCATATTTTATTTATTGATTGATAGACACTTTGGTTGATTTCATAATTTGACTATTGTGAATTGTGCTATGATAAACATGAATAGGCAGATATCTCTATAGTATGCTGAATTTAACTCCTTTAGAAAAATATGGAAAAGTGGTATAGCTGAATTATATAAATTTGAGCAATTTTTCTATAAAAGTAAATATCATGGATTAGTTGACCTCATAGATAATGATGATGACGGAATGCACAACAAGTAGATAGGACAAGGCTAAAACAGTGCCTCTGTAAATCATTATGTGTTAATGAAGTTAAATTATTTAACTTCATTAAATTGGAAGGGAAAGTAGTAAAAATCTAAAGGTAAATTTCCTTTTCAAGAAAATAGTAAATAAAGAACAAATTAAACCTGAAGGAAAAGAGAAAAAAAAATAATAAGATCAGAAATCAATAAAATAGAAATATGACATAAAGTCAATAAAGCAAAAATTTGATTCTTTGAAAAGTTTAAGAAACATTTTATATTTAGAAAAGTATAAAAATCCTTGGGAGACTGGGAGGATATATCTCAGTTGCTGGAGTGTTTGCCTTGCATGCACAAGGCCCTGGGTTCAATCCTCAGCACCACAAAAACAAAAACAAACAAACAAGAACTTGGAGATACTGATCAAGGATAAGATGGCAAACACAAAATTTGTATCAATAATAAAACTAGAGAATTTAGCTAATGCTCTGCAGACAATACAGAAAATAGCTGGATTCAACAAATATAATAAACAACCTAAACAAAGTGAATAACTCAGACAAAATGGAAAAATTCTTTTTTTAGCTTAAAAAATTCTTTTTTTATTGATGAATTATAATTGTACTTTATAGTGGAATTCATTAGGCCATATTCATACATGCACATAACATAATTTGATCAATCTCATTCTCCACCACCTTCCCTTCCCTCCCTTGTTTCTCTCCTCTAGTCCACTTGCTCTACTCTACTATCTCCCTTCTATTATTATTAACTATTTTAATTAGTACATTACAATTATATATCAAAGCAGAATTAATTGTGCTATATTTGTACATGGACATAGCATAATTTGGTAGTTGGTAAACTTCTTTCTGAGTACTTCACCATGACTCTCCCTTCCTTCTCCTCCATCCCCTTCCTCTACACTGTTGGTATCCCTTCTATTTTTGTGAGATCTGCCTTTGTTTATTACATTGTTCTTTTTTTCTAGCTTCTCTAGAACATTTAATCCTTCACTTTCTGAGTATCATTTATTGAACTTAGCATGAAGTTCTCCCATTCCATTCATTTATGTACAAATAAAAATTTCATTCTTCTGTGTGGTGGAGTAAATCTCCATTGTGTATATACATCACATTTTCCTTATCTATTCATCTGTTGATGTGCCTCTAGTCTGGTTTCATAACTTGGTTATTGTGAATTGCATTGTTATACACTATACATATGTGTATATATATATATATATATACACACACACTATATATATATATATATATATATGCTTATATCATTTGTTATGCTGATTTTAGTTCTTTTGGGTAATTATGAAGGAATGGGATAGCTGGGTCTTATGGTGATTCCATTCCTAATCTTTTGAGAAATCGCCATAGCACTTTTCAAAATAGTAATATCAATTTACAGTCTCCAAAACAATGTATAATGTACCTATATTCCCATGTACTTGAGCTGTTACTATTAATACTTTGATTTAAATAACTAGAAATAATCAATAGAAAAACTTTTATGAAAAGATTAAACACCAACTAAGAATATTCTGCTATGATAAAGGATAAAGAACTCCTATGAATCAAGATGTAAAATTAAAAAAAAAAATTTGACTGTTTTTTTTCCAATTTGTGTTTAGGAAAATAGAAATTATCATCACAATGAGATACTATAACATACTTATTAGAGTGAATAATATTAAAAAGGTTAAAAATTCCAAATTTTGATGAAGATATAGAGCATTAGAACTCTTACATTTTTCTACTGGATGTACAAATCAGCACAATGTCTTTGATGATGATTAGTTTAGCATTTTCTACTATAGATAAATGCTTGCTGTAAATCATGAAAACATCACTTCTAGAGAAATGACTTCTATAGTCTTATAGCTTCAAACATATTTCAAAGTAATTCATGAGTTTTTAATAGTTTTTTTGAATTGCTAATCTATCTCATACATACACACAATGGGTAATCAGAAGATGCTTATGCTGTGGGTGTGCATGCTTAAATTTTTTAACAGACTTCAATCATTGTTGTTCATACATGAGTTAATTAAATAGCTATTTACCATCTAATGGTTTTTATTTTCATTAATGAGTATATTTTTTTATTTTTCTTTTGTTTTTTTGAAGAATAACATGTTGAAAACTTTTGTAATCCTAATTAGGATTGTGCTGTTATGATTGAAACTTGTATCTGATTGCATTGAAAAGATAAAAATGAAAAAGGAGACAGGAAGATTAGTTATAAGCCTATTATCATCTGAAACCTAAAACCCAAGACACCCAACCTAGAATGTTCTGAGTTTATGTAGTATGTATTTGAGTTCAGTCTTTACTCTTTCATTGTTATTCTTCATTCCCTACTTAAGTTCTGAAGTTATGTTAGCCTGATGTCCACTGAAGCTGAAGTTTCCCGTCAATGCTGTTTCTCACATAATTTTGCCAGGATCACGTTTCTAATCTGCTGACTCTTCACAGAGTATACAATGGGATTCATTAGAGGGGGAACCAGCAGGAAGAGATCAGCTATTAGGACTCTAATAACTGGAGAGGCATTTTTGGCAAAGCGGTGAAGGGCAGCCAAGGTGATAATAGGCACATAGAAGATGAACACAGCACAGACGTGAGAAATGCAAGTGTTGAGGACCTTGAGGCGACCCTTGTGTGAGGTAATGCCCAGGACAATTTTCAGGATCAACACATAAGACACAGAAATGAACATTAAGTTTAATAGAGATAAAAGAGCCACAAAAAATCCATAAATTATATTGATCCTGTTGTCTGAGCAGGCCAACTTCATCACATCCTGGTGAAGGCAATATGAATGGGACAAAATGCTTTTCTTACAGAATTTCAGCCTCTTTAGAATAAAAGGGAATGGGAGAACAAGTAAAATACACAGGGTGGCAAATGCAAAGCCAGTTTTAAAGACTCTGTCACTGGTAAGGATGGAGGTGTACCTCAAAGGGTTGTAGATGGCTATATAGCGATCAATGGCCATGACCAAAAGCACTACTGATTCCATAGCTGAGAACCCATGAATGAAAAACTCCTGTGCAAAGCAGGCATCTGTGGAAATTCCTGTGGCATTGAACAAGAAGACTCTCAGCATGGTTGGAAGGGAGGAGATAGACAGCCCCAGGTCCGAGAATGCCAGCATGGAAAGGAAATAGTACATAGGCTCGTGCAGGGAGTTCTCTGTTTTTATGAAAAAAAGGATGGTGCCATTTCCCAGGATGGCAACAAGGTACATGAAGCAAATGGGGATGGAGACCCACAGGTGAACATGCTCTGCCCCTGGGATTCCAATCAGGAAGAAGGTGGAGATTCCCTCTTCAGAGAAGTTGAAGACTGACATTGCAGGAGTATGAAGAAACCAGAACCTGGGTCTCAGAAACTTTTTCCTACAAAGGCATAAATTAATTGTCTCAAACAAGTAAGCTGTATTCATCAGGTTGACACAAATCTTGATATGCCAGCTATTCTCCTACAATAATTCCTACTAAGCAATAATTCCAAGTATTAAGCATATTTTATAAACTATAAGTGAGAGTAACATCAGGACCCATATGAGCAGGATACAAAGAGATAAATGAAAATATACTTATCTTCACAAATAAATATCAATAAACAGATGTAATATTCCAAACACTTTTCTTGGACTCAGCATACAGTAAGGGAGAAGCAAATTTCTCACTTTCTATTTACTATAACATTTTGTTAGGACAGTGATGCCTACACTTGGAAATCGCATGAAGAAGTACAACGTCAAATAAGGAACTCCATTGTTCACAGTTCCATTTGTAGTTTTGAAGAATTTTTAACCCTAAGAAATTATTTTTGCCAAAAAATTTGACTGGAATAATTTGGCTGATTTTGTATTTCCATAACTGAAAGAATGAAGTTAGACACTATGACTACTTAACACAAATATTATCTCAAAGTATATCATAGATATGAGTGTAAGAGCTAAAACAATAAAGCCCCTGGAAGGAAACAGAAAGTAAATCTTGGAGACCTTGAGTTAGTCAATGTCTGCTTAGAAATAGCACTGAAACCATCAAGAACAACAAAACCACATATTATATAACACACTTCCAGGATTCGAAAGACATCATAAAAAATTAAAAAGTTAACTCAGAATGAGAGAAAGATTTGTAAATCACATATCTGGACTTCCTCAAGAATATATAAAGGACCTTTACAACCCTACATTAGACATGAAAATATACTTACCATCATTAGTCATTGGGGAAATGTAAGTCAAATGTAACACCAATATGAAATATCACTTCACACACACAGGAAGGCTGAAATAAAAAAGAAAAATAGTAATTATTGGCAAAGATGTGGAGAAATTTGAACTTTTCTACATTGAGGTTGAAGTCTCAACCTGGACTGCAAATGGTTCACCAACTTTGGAAAATATTTTAGCAATTTATTCAAATTTTAAAATATAAGATAACCTAGGAATCCTGTTCCTATGTATATTTTTAAGAACAGAGAAAAATGCATATTTCCTCAAAACTTGTACATAGCCCAATTTACTGTCAAATGCTGCATGGCAAATTGTTCTCTGTGAATATAACTTGTTAATACAAGTGAAAGTATTTGTATGTGTTTCAACAGGAATGAATCTTGAAATTATTATACTAGGAGAAAGAAACAAGTCATGAAAAAATGTACATTGTATTATTCCATTTATTTGAAATGTTCAGAATAGACAAATCCATAGAAGCAGAAAGAGTCATGGTTCTCAGAGACTGGATGAAGCGGTGAAGGGGAATGGCTGCTAAGAGATGTAGAATGTTTTTCAGGTTGATGAAAATATTATAGTATTAGATAGTGGTAATATTTGAACAGTAGTACAAATATACTCAAAGCCATTGACATATATAACTTAGAATGAATTCGATTGTCAATAATATCTTAATAAACTTGCTATAAGATGAAACTGTACCCTCCAAATGCATTTCTCTATACATCAATGTTACATATGGGAAATTGCATCTTTGAGAAGAACACCTGTCTGGAGATCACCTGTGCCATCCTTATAACTGGGGTGCAGAATAGACTGGCCTGAGTCCTACTGGTAGAACATCAAGATTTACTGGGGTGGATGACCAGCCACTTTAGGATCAAAGGAACATTAATTTAGGTGCCCAAAGAGGTAACATAATATGGGGAGGACAATCTGGAGTCACTGTCACAGGGTTCTTGTGAAAGCAATGGAGACATGAGTGGAGGGAAGACGATCAGCCAGCAGCAAGAGAGGCACATCTTGTCAATAGTGCAGCACTGAGTAGTCCAGGAGGGGAGCTGTGCAGGTATTTGTCTTGATTGCTCTGATGCTTTGGCACATTTTGGTTCTCACTAAACATTTTTTGAATAAACACTATCCTTATTTTTGCTTACATATTGAGGGAATGCAGGACCAAAATGAAATGAATAAAATAACAACTGTACAAGGGTCCTTCCTTGCTTTATTGTGTCACTGCATCTGCAACTCAAGCTTTAGATTGTTGTAGGCTATTAATGAGGGAATCATCAATACCAGAAGCCCAGTGTTAGTTTGCATGGGATAAGAGAGGAGGAATAAAAGAGAATATTTATATTAAGATAGAAACATTTAAACATAAACATCCCATAATTTTTTTCTTCTTCTTCTGGAGTAAAAGTAATTTTATTGAATAACAAGATTTGTCTCACTCTAATATGAATTTGACCATTCTGTCTTAAGAAATCCCAGAAAGATCTTCCACTATCAAATATTTTGATGATGTGAGAGACCCTGGGCTCTCCCCTGTTAGGCCATATGCAGGTCTGGAGCCTCCTCAGCCTCCACTTAGGTCTCCTGCTGCTATGACATGCATCTGTCATCCCTTAAATACATTGTACAGCTTCCTGCTCTCACACTTGACTTCAAAAGATAGCCTCAAGTGAGGTGCACAGGGATCAATTTGTTTCAAGAACATGAATTTATAAATAATACTATAGATTATTTTCCTTTTACATAGGAAAACCTAGGGCATTTGAGCTTTTCAATAATATAAAACTTGAATAGCACCTATTGTTTTCTGCAGCTTAGAGTGCTGTCTATATTATTTTTTCTTGGTTTCTGTATTATCTAGTATATGCAGTTCAATCCTCAAATCCTTGGTCAAGTTCAACATCCAATTCAATGATCAGAATGACAGCAACCCAGCATGTGGTGCTGTCCTTGATAATATTGCCATTTTGCCTCCTCCTTCTAGATTCAAAGTCTCCTACACAAGTTGACACATTCTTATCCACACCGGATGAATGTAAAGACGTACCCTCAAATTGGTGGCTTCTATATTTAAATTAAATGATTAAATGAAATGTATACAAACTCTTACATTATTTAAATACTCTGAACTATAAATAGATTCACAGGTGGATTCTTTTGATAGAATTATTGGGTGAGTGCAGTGGTGCATACCTGTAATCCCAGTGGTTCAGGAGACTGACGCAAGAGGATTGTGAGTTCAAAGCCAGCCTCAGCAACTTAGTGAGGTCCTAGGGAACTCATTGAGACCCTGTCTCTAAATAAAATTTAAGAAGGGCTGCAGATGTGGCTCAGTGGTTAAGTACCCTTGGGTTCAATTCCCAGTACCAAAGAAAAAAAAAAGAAAAATAAAATTATAAAGTTGCTTCCTTACCAAGAGAGAGGAACTGTGAAGTAGATACTTAAACTCAGTCAAAAGAATGCTGAGTGAACACAGATAGTTGATATAGAGTCTCCTACCCATTGACTGTCTCTTCTTCACCAGGGCAGACTCAGTAGCTTCATGTATCCATGCCCAGAAATAACATCCTATCTTATAAAGCAGTGGCTCTACCAGCCAGAGAGTAGGCCACCCAAGATTCAGGACCAGGTATCTGGCTTTGAATTCCTTTCTGGGTTGAGATAGTGATTTTGGCTTTGCACTTGGTTGATTTCCATGAGTTGGCAGAACTCTGGACTTGTACCCTGCATTTTCACACATTGTTGAACTTTTTAAGGTGATGGGGTACTGGCATCCATCCTAATCACTTGGAGAACAAGTTAGAAAGCATTTGAATTGCTTGCTTGAGCTGGTACAAAAAGGCAAACTGCAACTGTGAGCGTCAGGAAACTTACTAGTAAGTTGACAGATAATTGGACCCGCATGTCAAAGTCAAGAGGAAATCGAGGTGGCATACAGTCACCAGGGCTTCACCACCGAAACCCTGGGCAGCAATTTATCTGCAAATTACTTTCCTCATGCTTTCCCTTTAGCTCACAAAGCTCTGGAGATTGCAACTCAGCAGGATGTACTTAAAATTCCCTGCAGATGAATCCTCAAATGACACTGGAACCAAGAAGGCACATACAATTCCCAGTAAGTGGGAATAATTAACAATTTGTGGAGAACACCCTTGAGCCTCCTCTGCTCTGTCTGCCATACATGTCTCTTCCCTGATTCCATATCATCACGTAATTATCTTAGTTTCACAGTGTATGGCAACTATGCCCTTACTTGTCTGCTCCTTCCATTGGATTAACTTTCTTAAAATTACAAAGTTTTGCTGGGCACAGTGGCACATGCCTATAATCCCAGCAGCTCACAAGACAGAGGAAGGAGTATCACAAGTTCAAGTTCAGCCTCAACAATTTACTGAGGCCCTATGTAACTTAGGAAGACCCCATCTCAAAATAAAAATATAAGGGGCTGGGATGTGGCTCAGTGGTTAAGTGCCCCTGAGTTCAATCCTCAGTACCACCCTCCAAAAAAAAAAAATTACAAAGTTTTCCTTTTACAATGAAGAAGGCTTTGAAAATTTGAATTTAATAACACCTTCAATAATACTAGTTTACAGTTGGGAATGTAGACTATGCTTAAGTATGGAGTTTTATAAAAATATAATGGTGAATCTCACTATCCTGTACATTAACAGACTGGGATCCTAATTAAAATAAAATATATTTTATTCTTGTATAAATAAATTAAAATGGATTCTCTAGTCATGTTTGCCTAAAAGGAACCATACAAATAAAACAATAATATTTATTCATTTCCTCAATAAAAAGAAAGAAACGTATAGCCTAAATTAAAAAAAAAAATACAATGTTTAGGCTCTGTTTCATAGCCAGTGAATCTTATTACTTAATATTCTGGTGTAATCTTCATATTTTCTTCCTATATTATGTACATCATTTCTTATTATATTTGCTATATCCCCAAATAGCTTACATTGTAAAACTTATACTTATTTATTTTAAACATTTGATGTAATGTACCCTGTCCTCAAATATAGGCTTTATGGTTATCCTTAGCAATATTTTGTTTAAAGCTTCTTTTTTATGATTGTATTATCCTGTCT